AATATGTATTAAATGCGATTAATAATGCTGAAATACCAGAAAAAATGAAAGTATGTTTGATCAGTCGCTTATCATTAGAATTAAACAAACTATCTACAAAGCAATTAATCAAATTTATAAATATGTGTAAAAAAGACATAGAGGAATCAAATGAAAACTGTGTTCAGAGGTAATAATACTTGTATTATTGAAATTTTGTTTTGTGCAAGACATGTTATTTTTATTTCAGCTGGAAAGAATTGTTTCCTCATATTTTAAAAATAGTATCGGAAATCAAACTAATAAGAACTGAGGAATTAGAAATGACAGGTGCTGATTACAAAGAAATGATCATTACTGACATTTGTCGTTTCAAAGTTCAACCCAACATCTCAGTAGCTCTTGCACTGATGTTTAGGTATTTTTCAATTTACATACACATRCAACAACTTTAGACATATTTTTAATTCCACTATGATCAATTTAATTATAGAGGAACACTATTAACCGAGAAAGAACATGAACTAGTGATCAAAACATTATGCTCTTACTTCGGTCAAATGAAACCTCTTGAAATCCCACCTATTCTTCAACAGATATTACATTTTTGTTCAAGTGGAGATTTTTTAACTCTTTTTTGTACACTTCAAAAGTATTTTGACGATAAGTACCATTTAGATCAAAGTAATGATGAAAACTATGCACTTGAAATAGGTAATATTAATATGTATTAACTGTCATCAATGATAAAATGTATATATTAATTTTAAGTTCCAATTATTTACATTTAATATTATTAAATTGGACTTTCAGAAACCTCTGAGAAAAAAGAATTTTTAGAAGCTGAAAGTACAGTATTATTTCTTTTAGAAGACTTTGCTAAGGTGCATTCTTCATTTGTTAATGATATAACTAAGTACATAAAAAATAGCATTGGTGCTCCTAACATGGTTTTTGGTCCATTCATGTTATCATTTTTACTAACCATGTCTTGCTGTGCACCTTTTGAAGTTAATGTAAGAAGATTTATATACTTCTACACTTTGATAAATGAATCATATTTGTACATATTTCATTGGTTTTAGGTTATTGATTTGGTAAAAAAACTTGTAGTGCAGTCATTAGTAGAAGTAGAAAATACTCAACGCTCATATTGGTTAAAACTCAATTACACAGATATTTATGATGTTTACACACAATTTCAAGTCTTTATAAAAAGCGAGTATGTTTTAAAAATCACAATTTTTTTTTTTAATTTAATAATAACCGCTTTTTTATTTAGAATATCAAGTTATGAAAAAATATTTAAAGGTCTTGTCAATTTGGGATTATCATTTCTTGGAACTACTTCYTCTGTATTTAAAAGTAAGTTATTTCCTACTTAATTTTAATTAGTTTATCTATGTATTCAGTTTTAACATGGT